TGCACCCCAGCAATGCAGTTCAGTGGGTGTATTATATATTGTTTGTAGCCAGAAGATTGCTACTCCCATAGATCTGCTACTAGACTGTTGGCCCAGGGTACTCTCCCAGGAAGTTCTGTGTGGCTTTACCTCTCTCTAGCCACTACGTTAATAGTTGCCACCATTCAGGCACTGATACTGATCGGATGGCTAAGGGTACACTTTTATATAGGTCCGTGCTGTCTTTACCACTCTCCAGGCAATAAGAACTTCTATAGAGAACGTAGTGTTCCCTAGGTGGTACTATGATAACCTACGTGGATGCTCATAGAGAAATATTATAAATGGAGGCACACATAAACACAGTGATAAAATGTGTGAATTTACTGACGCAAATTACGTGAACACACATACAATCACAAGTAATACATGAATATGAAAATAAGGATAATAAGTCTGGAGATCGTCAGCCTCTTCTTCCACGACCTCCAACACTCCTCCAACTGAGCAGAAAGACAGGAGTCCCACACTCTCTCACAGGAGGGCCTCTTCACCACGTCGGCGCCTCTTCTTCACTGTCCTGCCATCCATACACACTGTCCCCTCTGACAGTCCTGGACACAAGCTGCCTTGCAGCCTAATCTAATACTAAAGAATTAATGTCCTATTGCCACATACATAAGTAAATATTGTGGCCTAACTAGCCTACTCACACAAGGGATAATGGGAGGGAAAATGATCTACCTTACATTCCTGGCTCACGACGCCTGTCCCTCGATGGTGTGAGGTTCCCACGCTTCCTGAGTCGATCCTCGACGATCCAGGAACGTTCCACAGGTCCTCAGGTGTCGTGGAGCCTTCGCGTCGTCGCCGTTCCAATCCCTGAGATTCAGCTACCCCAATCCTGGTTCATCGATAGGCGCTGAGCTAATCACTATTTTCCCACACTCGCCCCTTCCACAAGGCGTTGCTCCTTGTCCTAGGCACGGTGTCGTCCTTCCAAAACCCTCAGTGGATGTGACCCGGTCACAGCTAGGCTTGCCCGCCACACCTTTTCAGGCCCTCAACGTCCAGCGTCGTCGCCGAATATTTTCCAAGTTTGGCACTCTTTTGCTCAATAAACTTGGTTCCTTTTTGCTTCCCAGAAGCGCGGGGGTCTCCAATACGTGAGATGGGCTGCAATAGCCTGCACTAATCCACTAAGAAAGGCTTGTATAGCCTCAAATCCTTGAGAGCTGACCGAGGTGCGTCCTCTCGCTTCCAAGGTCAGGTCAACTCTGACGTTGGCGCCGCCCGGGGCACTCGGTGACGTCACAACGGGCCCTGATTGGTCGCCCGCGACCTAAGTCGGCCAATCCGCGATCGGCTAGTGTCCCTTCCAAAAGGTCATATCTGCATTAGGGGATACTCTTTCATTTTATATCAGGGCACCAATTTCTCCTTACTTACAACTTATAATGTAACTTCCTTCCCTTAACTGGCAGCCGGTCAGGTCGCCACATATATCAATAGACTCCCTGAACCTCAGAGAATCAGTAGGGAGAGCTGATATGACTCTTTAAGCAGGCAAACGAAAGAGACAGGAGAGAGCACCGTAACAACACCATCAGTACATTCGATATAACAAACAAAATCACTGAGAGGGGTATCGACAAAATACATGCAGACTTTGTAATGCAATCCCCTTGCGAATCGCTGCCAGCAGACCTTAAGATGATGGTTCTTGAGGGAAAAAGAACCAGACTAATCCTCATCTGCTACGTAATATTGCATAGAGGCAAATAGAAGCAAACTTGGTATCTGACAGCTTCACATACTTCACAGATGGATCAGTAGACGAGCAGGGACAAGAAACCGGAGCTGCAGTTAAGGCAAGGAACTCTTTAAATAGTTGGAGGCTCTCAAACGGGTGTTCAACTTTACAAACAGAGATGCTAGCCATTCAAAAGGCTTTGGAACATGCTCTTGCTGAACACTGACAACATGTTATCATACATACAGATTTGAGAACTGCCATTGAACCCTTGCAACAAGAACACATACATGACAACATCCATCTGATAACAAATGTCATATTATTAATGCAAACACTCAAACGTCAAGGCCGTCGGGTACTTATCAACTGGGGTGCTAAGTCATGTTACCTTACCTTGAGGTTACCTTGAGGTGCTTCCGGGGCTTAGTGTCCCCGCGGCCCGGTCGTCGACCAGGCCTCCTGGTTGCTGGACTGATCAACCAGGCTGTTGGACGCGGCTGCTCGCAGCCTGACGTATGAGTCACAGCCTGGTTGATCAGGTATCCTTTGGAGGTGCTTATCCAGTTCTCTCTTGAACACTGTGAGGGGTCGGTCAGTTATGCCCCTTATGTGTAGCGGAAGCGTGTTGAACAGTCTCGGGCCTCTGATGTTGATAGTTCTCTCTCAGAGTACCTGTTGCACCTCTTCTTTTCAACGGGGGTATTCTGCACATCCTGCCATGCCTCCTGGTCTCATGTGATGTTATTTCTGTGTGCAGGTTTGGGACCAGCCCCTCAATTATTTTCCACGTGTAAATTATTATGTATCTCTCCCGCCTGCGTTCAAGGGAGTACAGATTTAGGCTCTTTAGTCGGTCCCAGTAATTTAGATGTTTTACTGAGTGGATTCTAGGAGTAAAGGATCTCTGCACGCTCTCCAGGTCAGCAATTTCTCCAGCTTTGAAAGGGGCTGTCATTGTGCAGCAGTACTCCACTCTAGAGAGCACAAGCGTTTTGAAAAGTATCATCATCGGTATAGCATCTCTAGTGTGGAAAGTTCTTATTATCCAACCTGTCATTTTTCTTGCAGTTGTGACGGCTACTTTATTGTGTTCTTTAAAGGTAAGGTCTTCCGACATGAGTACACCCAGATCCTTTACATTGCCTTTTCGTTCTGTGTTATGATTTGCCTGAGTTTTGTACGTGGTTTCTGTTTTTATATTTTCAATTTTTCCGTAGCGCATGAGCTGGAACTTATCCTCGTTAAACACCATATTATTTTCTGCAGCCCATAGAAAGACCTGATGGGAATAATAAGAAATAAAATTGCAGACGAAGCTGCAAAACTTGCAACTATGCGGAGAAATGTAGACATTTATATACCACAGAGTCTATCACATATTAAGAAAGTAATTAGAAATAAAACAATGCAGATGATCTACAGTAACCACAACACAGCAGTTGCCACTTCAGGATCTGTGGGATGGTACAAGAATTCAACCAACTACGAACCACTTATTTTGATGAAAGGGAGCAGTAGAACAACAGAAGTACACTTACATTGCATCAGGCTTGGATACCCATGTGCATGGGAAACAGGCTTACAGGTTCTAGAAGATGAGAGGAAATGTCAGCACTCTGGAGAAATACCCGACAGTCTGCTGGAACATTATCTAACACAGTGCACAGTTACATACCCAATAAGATTTCAACTTAGATTCAACAGAGCAGAAGAAGTTGCTAAACACATTGGACCAAATCTTACTGAAGCGACCATACAAGTCATAAATACTCACACTCCGCCTAAGTAAAATAGAAACAAGTAACACTTAGTGGGCCAGCCAGAGGCTTAGGGCCCACGCAGGAATTTCCCTGCAAAAAAAAAAAGGGAATTTAGTACAATTTAGTACACTGTGATACAGCGGCCCATGAGGGTTATTATTTTCTTAAAAATAGCTGCTGAACGTTCAAGACTTTGTGCTTGTCGCATGTTGAGTCTTAATGAGGACATCAGAAACGTTAGTCAGTGTTGATAGTATTCTATGCTTACCGTAAAATAACTATGTCTTAACTGGACTCAATACACAAAAACACTAATATTCCAATAAATATGCAGGATTGTTAAATAAAACTGTAGTAATTGTGCTCAAGGCACAATGTAATAAGCGAGTGAGTCCCGAGGGCCACATGCGGCCAACACGTGGTCTCATGTGGCCCTCCGCTACAGTGTTTGACTCACATTATTTATGCCATTGTGCTATTGATCTGTGGGTTGGTATAAGAATTCAACCAACTACGAACCACTTATTTTGATGAAAGGGAGCAGTAGAACAACAGAAGTGCACTTACATTGCATCAGGCTTGCATACCCATGTGCATGGGAAACAGGCTTACAGGTTCTAGAAGATGAGAGCACAAGGTATGGTATGCCAGATCTCAGTATGTAACCTTTCAAAGACAGGAATTTAAGAGATTTAATGAAAATATTGCAGCAGTGGGCGGCCACTACCTGCAGCAGTGGGTGACCACCACCTGCAGCAGTGGGTGACCACCACCTGCAGCAGTGGGTGACCACTATCTGCAGCAGTGGGTGACCATTATCTGCAGCAGTGGGTGACCACTATCTGCAGCAGTGGGTGACCACTACCTGCAGCAGTGGGTGACCACTACCTGCAGCAGTGGGTGACCACCACCTGCAGCAGTGGGTGACCACCACCTGCAGCAGTGGGTGGCCACCACCTGCAGCAGTGGGTGGCCACCACCTGCAGCAGTGGGTGACCACCACCTGCAGCAGTGGGTGGCCACCACCTGCAGCAGTGGGTGGCCCCCACCTGCAGCAGTGGGTGACCACCACCTGCAGGAGTGGGTGACCACCACCTGCAGCAGTAGGTGGCCCCCACCTGCAGCAGTGGGTGACCACCACCTTCAGCAGTGGGTGACCACCACCTGCAGCAGTGGGTGCCCACTACCTGCAGCAGTGGGTGACCACCACCTGCAGCAGTGGGTGACCACCACCTGCAGCAGTGGGTGACCACTACCTGCAGCAGTGGGTGACCACCACCTGCAGCAGTGGGTGGCCACCACCTGCAGCAGTGGGTGGCCCCCACCTGCAGCAGTGGGTGACCACCACCTGCAGCAGTGGGTGACCACCACCTGCAGCAGTGGGTGGCCCCCACCTGCAGCAGTGGGTGACCACCACCTGCAGCAGTGGGTGGCCACTACCTGCAGCAGTGGGTGGCCACCACCTGCAGCAGTGGGTGGCCCCCACCTGCAGCAGTGGGTGACCACTACCTGCACATGTAGAGAGATACTTCTACAGCCAGCACAAGCAGGGCCACAATGGTGCCCAGCAGCATAACGATGAACGCTCCCTGCAGGTGGTCTAATGCGAGGGGCTGCAACCACTGGCTGCCCACCGTCTGTGACGACGTCTCTGGACTGTCCCCCGAGGTCCGGCGAAAGTCCTCCACCACCGTCCCACGCCAGTACTCAACCAGCCCCGCCTGGGACATCCAACTGAGGTACCTGTTGGTATAAATGCCACCTCTGTGATAGTTGACTTTCAGACATAAATTAATATCAGCTTTGGCTTTAGACTATAGTGATATTTCTTAACGTAACAGTGTTCAGTAAATCTAATTAACTCTTGTAATATTTATTAAATGGTATTTATCTGCCTGAATTAACAACCGTCAGTGAAACTCATCAAATTCTTGCAAACCTTCAGCTGAAACAGGATAGATATATAGCATAGAGATTATTAAAAGGGTAACTCAGCATAAGTGGAGCATAATTTTCCATAAACCATGGAGAAAATACAAGATATTTTGGTGAGAAATACTCTTGATGTTGAAGATTGTTACATCAGGTCATTTCACCACAGTTGCTAGCATCCTCAGTTTCTGTTCCGTTCTTTTTGAACATATGAATTATTAACCAATTTAATATACAATGTTATGAAATGATGTTAAGTCTATCTGCATTGGAACTAGGTACTGTTAAGTATGTATGTGCATGGAACAAAGTGCGGTTAAGTATGCATGTGCATGGAAAAAAGTGCTGTTCAGTATGCATGTGCATGGAAGAAAGTGCTGTTAAGTATGCATGTGCATGAAACTAGGTGCTGTTAAGTATATCTGTGCATGGAACTTAGTGCTGTTAAGTATATCTGTGCATGGAACTAGGGGTAGCAAAGTTTATCTGTTCATGTAACTAGGTGCTATTAGGTACAAGGTGTTTCACAGAATTTGATATCGTTTGAGATATAAATACCTGAGTAACCACACAGTCCAGGCAAATGAAACTAAACAGGCTTAATGTTAAGCAAAATAAATTTATTCGTCAAAATTCGAATGAGAAAGTCAGAAGTATGTGGAATTCATAAAGGATTTCATTGGTGTTCAAAATGCGCACCGCCTGTGACCCGGCCTACGTCAAGTGGGTAGTCCAGCTCCCACCACACACCCTGCAGCAGGTAGTCCAGCTCCCGCCACACACCCTGCAGCAGGTAGTCCACCTCCCGCCACACACCCTGCAGCAGGTAGTCCAGCTCCCGCCACACACCCTGCAGCAGGTAGTCCAGCTCCCGCCACACACCCTGCAGCAGGTAGTCCAGCTCCCGCCACACACCCTGCAGCAGGTAGTCCAGCTCCCGCCACACACCCTGCAGCAGGTAGTCCAGCTCCCGCCACACACCCTGCAGCAGGTAGTCCAGCTCCCGCCACACCCTGCAGCAGGTAGTCCAGCTCCCGCCACACACCCTGCAGCAGGTAGTCCAGCTCCCGCCACACACCCTGCAGCAGGTAGTCCAGCTCCTGCCACACACCCTGCAGCAGGTAGTCCACCTCCCGCCACACACCATTCAGCAGGTAGTCCAGCTCCCGCCACACACCCTGCGGGGTGTGAATCCGGAACAATTTCTAACACACAGTTATCAGAAGGCTATTACACACAAGCTGAACTGCAGGCCATTCTGGCGTGTTTGGAGGAAGTACGTCATGACGACAAAGATGTTTTTGTATTTGTCGATAGCCGAGGCGCACTTGATTCCTTAAACAGTCGAAATCCAGTCTTCATGTCCATAGTTGAGGATTGTAAGAAAAGGATAACTGAGATACAGCTGAAAGGTCACAATGTGAAATTCATGTGGATTCCATCTCATGTTGGAATAGTGCTCAACGAGGTGGCGGATGACTTGGCCAAACTTGCCACATCAAAACCACAAGTTGACATCGAATGCGAATTCACAACGAGACAAATAAGAAGCAAAATCAGAAATATTCTAGCACAGGCAGAAGTGGCGAGGAGAGGTATAATGTATGAGGGAAGTCAAACCATGCAACACTGCATGTATGTCAGTCAAAACACCCATTTCACTTATGGTAAAAGAAGAAATGCTTGGAGTGACTCTGTGCACATGCGGCTCAGGCTTGGGTACAAATATTACTGGGAATATGGGATAGGTGTTCATGATAATGACACCAAGTGTAAACTATGTGGTATGTTAAGGTCTCATACCCTTGCCCATTATGTTCTTGATTATCCGTTGATTAATGTATATAGAAACACGGATATAAGGACTGTTCCTGAACAAATAGCCTGGATGTGTCACAACGGAAAGGTTGATGATATTCTGGAGAGATATAAGAATTTTGCACCAAGACTGTAAACTTTTATTAAATTATCTGCATGTCTCTTGCAAATTGTCTATACAGTATACCTAATTCATAAAAGTATTTGTGTGTACATCTGATACCATACTACTTGTGTAAAGGAGGAATTGTATATGTTTATCTCTCAGAATGTTCGGCAATATGTTAATTGTTTGTGGTGTGTGTCTATATATTTATGAACACGTTGTACTGAACGGGGTGAGAATAGCTTGAGCTACCTCATCCCTTTGTGTGTATTTTACCTCAATGAACTTATTTAAATTTCAATTACCCTATATTTTATTTTTTTCTGAGCTCCAAACTTCAAAAATCCTTTCTCAATTATTTCATTCTATTTTTTTTTTTAGCTCAAACTTGATACTTTCTTTGGTTAGGATGGAAAGGGTTGGCCAACATCTATATAAATAAAAATGAAAATGTTCGTTTGTTCAAAATCGCTAATCTCCGAAAGTTCTTCACTGAATGTTTTGAAATTTTGACACTACGTTCCATTCGCATATGAGTGTGTTTTTATATATTTACTATATATAGATATCATGTTTGTGACAGATAAAAACATGCTTTTATTGAAAATCTGTTTTTCATGTGAGTTTTCATCTGAGGAACATCTCTGAAACCTCTTGACTGATTGCTTTGAAAATTTGACACAACATTGCATTCGAATACGTGCGTGTTTATATATACCTACTATATACATGCCACACCTATGACAGGTAAAAACATGCTTTTTTTAAAAACAGCACCATCTGTTGGACGTAAGAGCAACACACGCTATACTACACATGTTATGATTCCATTTCAATGTTTCCGATTGCATTGATGAATTGAATTTTCATAGATTTTTATATATTTTCATTTTGATTTAAATATTTTGTGTGACATTGCATTGGAACTGAGCTGTGTTGTCCGCCTCATACCCTTCATTGCATAAGTATAAGTATAGATGCAACACCTGTGACAGGTAAAAAACATGCTTTAAAAAAAAAGCACCATCTGTTGCATGTAAGAGCCACACATGCTATAGTAAATATGATACGATTCCATTTCAGTGTTTGTGATTGCATTGATAAATTGAATTTTCATAGATTTTGATTTATTTTCAATTTAATTTAATTATTTTATTTGACCTTGAGTTGGCATTAAGCTGTGTTGTTTACCATACTATTCATTGCGTGAGTATAGCTTATTTTTTTATTTTTTCATTTTTTTAATTTCGCTTTTTTAACCGTTCTTCTTATTTTTCAGTGATGGGATCATGAGGTCATTTGATGTTTCCAATTTTCTGAAGGGAACATCTGATCATTTGGAAATGCATCTGACAAGGGAGTAGGAAATAGTGGGTTGGATGAGGAGACGGGAATGGGGGATAGTGGGGAAGACGAAGGTACAGGGGAGGGGGTAATGGTGGGGAGGATGAGGGGACAGGGGAGATGGGGACAAGGGGACGGAGCAATGGAGAATGGTGAGGGAGGAGAAGGGGACAGGGGAGTGGGGGATGGTAGGTAGGACGAGGGGACAAGGGAGAGGTAGGAATGTTAGGAAGGACGAGGGGACGGAGGAGTGGGAGATGATGGGGAGGACGAGGGGACGGTGGAGTGGGAAATGGTGGGGAGGACATGGGGACAGGGTGGGGAAAATGGTGGGGAGGATGAGGGGACGGGGAAGGGGGGGGGGGAATGACACGGAGGACTGGGGACAGGGGAAGGTTGCTGTGGCTCAGCTGAGCCACAGCAACGGATGGCCGGGTACTACTAGTTGCTAATATGGACACTGAAAGCAGACTACCGAAAGGACAGAGGCAACTGACAGGATCCTTGAAGGATCTGGCCCAGTATCTCCATACCACCCAATCCCACCATACCTAATGGACAACTTTATTGACGACCTGAGGGACGGAGACCCACATGCCTGGAGGATGTCGTGCCGATCATGAATGAAGAGAATGACGTAACTGACGTAAAAATTACCTAATAAAGAAATGGATGAGAAAAAGATCTAGTACGGAACGTCTGAAGAACACTACAAACTTCATAAGGAAACTCCAGTCTCTTAAAGATCCTATATCACAAGGGGCGTGCCTCTTCTCTCTCTGGAAGTAATCTCTCACTATCCAAGTATACCACAGAGAGAAGCGGCTAAAAAAGTGGCAGAATTTGTTGACTCCAACAAAAATAAACTTATACAGGAGCTCAGACAAGCAGGAGTCTTTAGGCCACCAACAAGGGAACTGTATGAAGAAGCTATCTTTTACGTACCCCTCTGTGGCGTCACCTTGACATGGTGAGGAGCTCACGTACACCTCCCTGGGACAGGTGAGGGTTGACTTTGCCCGCTCTACTGCCCCTCTTTGGGTGGTGTACGTGCAGAAGGGCATCGCGTAGGGGCCTTTTGAGCCACTGGACCACCCGCTGGAAGGGTCGCCCGTGAGGGGCTGCCCTGAGTTGATGGTTGAGTGTTCAGGCTGGGGCGATAGGGGGAATGGGCTGTTAGTACCAGTGTGGGAGAATGGACGATGTAGTAGGACTCACCTGTTGAAAAGGGGGGAGCACCACTGGGAACGACGCACCCTTCCTGCACTGACCTGCGCTCGGCCTCCCTGGCTACCATGGTAGGTGGTATCCCTTAGTTCCAGGTCCCAAACCTTTAGATGCATGGATGACGACACGACTTCTCTTACCCAGGCTCATGGGGTTGGCGACCAGGCCCTTGAGTCGGACTGTGCTGGAAGACCAGGCTCTGTAGCCCCCGCTACAGGGCCCGGTTTGGGCCCAGACCGGAGTACTACTCCCTGCTCCCCTCCCTCCTCTGTGGTAGGGTCGAGCCCCAAGCCCTCTGTGGTGACAGCCTCGTCCC